GCTATATAATTAATAGGTAATGGGATTTCATGCTCCCCAATCAAGAAATAATTAGACTCGAAAAATTCCTCTGAATGCCAAATTGGACTCGGCCTATGGCCTCATCCAATTTTGGAAGTCCTCGGAATTTKYCTCGTCCAATTATTTCTTAATTGGACAGCATGGAGTCCTATTACATATACTTATTTTACTGCAAAGATGAGAGTATGTGGACCGCGTGGCACTAATGAAATAGTAGAAGATAATATAGGTAAGTTGTAGTGCTTGGGAACGAGGTTATTCCGGGCGAAAGCCCTTGGAATTAAATTCGGAAAAATTAATTTCCGACTGGGATTCGAACCCACGACCTTCGGAATTGTACTACCGATGCTCTACCAGCTGAGCTAGAGGTCAGACTGAGAGCAGGCCGGGGTGAAATAGATGTTAGGTCGCGGTAATTATGATGCAAAGATGAGAGTATGTGGACCGCGTGGCACTAATGAAATAGTAGAAGATAATTATATACCTTCTTCCGGGCTTCTGCCCGGAATAACCTCGTTCCCAAGCACTACAACTTACCTATATTATCTTTACTTATTTTACTGTTATGAAGGATTTGACTGACATTTTTGATATTAACTTGGTGGTATGTACTAAAACGGTAAATTTTATTAAACTAGGGGGATTTAAAATAAAATTATAAGTATTTCTAATTATAATTCCTTTTTTTATGGCAACGTTCTTGCAATTAGGTGTATATTTTCTTACTTTATGATGTATTTACTAGTAAAAAATAAAGGAATTTCTCGAGAAATAATTAGTCTAACTATAATTTTTAAACGGTAATAATAAAAAGGTAAATTATACACCGTGAAAGGATGAAAAAACGTACTGACGTTTCGGACGCTAGTCCTTCGTCGGAGTAAAAACTTTAAAAGCTGTAAAAACGCCGACGAAGGACTAGCGTCCGAAACGTCAGTCAGTTTTTTCATCTTTTCTCGGTGTATAATTTAACTTTTTATCATTACTGTTTCATTAGAAACACTGRCGCAGCTCACACTAGTTTTTAGCTAGTTATCTCTTTTTATAATTTTTATATAACATGTATTCCGCTTTTCGATGAGTCATAATTTATTTTTATTATGCAAATATTTGACTAACCTTGCTGGCCGAACGCATTTCAGTTTCTCCAGCTAGTATTCATGTTACAAATTTATTTACAATTCCTTTGAATTTATTTTTCTCTGGTTTCATTCGAGTTCTGGATTCTTTAGTACAATATAATTGGAGCAGAATGCATGAAGAAGATTACAAGTTTAGGCTACAAATACAACTACATTGCTCTTTGGCGACAGATCAACTGGTTTCCTTCATCTAAAAGAACTTCCGTAAATTAGAATTTACTGACAAAACTGATATTGATCACATAGTGACCGTTTAGGATGGGGTTTATAAATAATATATTTACTTACCTCAACAGATTCTTTTCAGTCGTTTTCGAATGAAGTCGTAATGTCCACTGAAGAGAGTGAGAGTCGAATATTAACATGAAATTAAAGGATCATAAGGACCAATAGGAAAGTGTGTAAAAAATCACAATCATTTCATTATTTGAGAAATGATCACACCCACTCGACCAATCAGTGCCCGGTAAATCAAGTACTCTGAATCAATAGAAAACTTAGGTGTCAAGGGGTGAAGGCCTTGAAGCAAAGGAGAATGATCACAACCCACTCGACCAATCAGTGCCCGGTAAATCAAGTGCTCTGAATCAATAGAAAACTTAGGTGTCAAGGGGTGAAGGCCTTGAAGCAAAGGAGAATGATCACACCCACTCGACCAATCAGTGCCATTTAAATCAAGTGCTCTGAATCCATAGAAAAATTAGGTGTCAAGTGGTGGGGGCCTTGAAGCAAAGGACTGATACGAGGTTATTTTAGTATTCTAAACCAAATTGGACAGAATAAATTAGTAAAGTGTGATTATTAATTATCATTAATTATCATTAATTATCATTAATTATCATTAATTATCATTAATTATCATTAATTATCATTAATTATCATTAATTATCATTAGTATATGTAATAGGACTCCGTGCTGTCCAATTAAGAAATAATTGGACAAGAAAAATTTCGAGAACTTACAAAATTGGATGAGGCCGTAGGCCGAGTCCAATTTTGAAGTCAAAGGAATTTTTCGAGTCTAATTATTTCTTGATTGGGGAGCATGAAATCCCATAACCTATTAATTATATAGCTACCTAATTAATTCCATATCAACAAGACCTGTCCAATTAAGAAAATAATTTGACAGTTACCTATATGGGATTAATGAGAAGCTGTATAGTTAGGTTATTAATTAGTATTCCAATCCAAATTGGACAGAATAAAATGGTAAAATCGTGCTTGCAATTTCGGTCTAAAATCAAATTTGCAACACACCGTTCCAGCTTTCATTGTTCTACCTCCGCAAAAATCAACTTCTAAACTCCAATTGGAATTTCAGTGGATGAAGAGCCACTCTGTGGAAATGATACTGCTTATATAATCCCATTTAGTATTTTTACACGAATGAATATAACAAATCCGGTGCGCTCATTGGTCACAATTTACGTCTTATGCTGCTATATTCACCTACAGGTGAAAATAACTCGCGCACGCGCACACTCGTTTGTCGATTTGTGCCGCTTGTAGAGATAAAATTTGAAAAGACAAAAAAAAACTCTTTCTCCGTTGTTTATTAAATTTACTTGTGTTAAAAATACGCCTTTGGCAAATAATTGTTAATTATTCTTATTCGTTTCTATTATTGTTTGCATTGTTAAACTGTTTTGCATATATTGTTTACTTTACCGTTGGTATTTAGACACTGATTCGAGGCTAGCCCTGAGTAAATGAGTCTGTAATCAAGGAACACAGCGGTAATTTAGAACTCGAAACTGGTCTTGGCGCTTGCCATCGAAAGCATTCGCAAAAACCGCAGTCGCTAATCTCTCCCCAATGGTTTGATAATATCTTCAGACTATAACAAAGCAATATAGGGTAGCAGCAGCCACTCCTCTTCTGAATTATTTTGTTTGGTTTTTACCTGATGAAGATTGGCATCGCGAAACCAAAATATCACGAAAGTAAATATCTCCCTCATAGGATTTTCCCCTTTACTGGTAAGTCTACCATCCATTTAATACATAGCTAAACACTATATCATTTCATTCCCTACATAGATAGTACCATTGCATTTATTAAGCTTTTCTCGAAAGAAACCTTTCAGCGAATTTCAAGGAAACGAAAGACATAAGCTTTTTTTTCCTACATCTTCCTGTTATCCTAGATATCCTATTACCCTTTAGATTACACTGCAGAGGGTTGGCTTGTTGCTGCCCTATCTTGTAGGATTTTCTCGATCCTCTACTGGTAAGTCTATCATCCATTTACTACATATTTAAACACTATATCATTTCATTCCCTATATAGATAGATCGCTTTTGCCGGTACCATTGCATTTATTAAGCTTTACTCGCAAAGAAATCTTCCAGCGAATTTCGAGAAGACGAAAGACATAAGCTTTTTTTCTACATCTTCCTGTTGTCCTGGATATCCTATTACCCTTTAGATTATACTGCGGAGGTTGGTATGTCGCAGTCCTATCAGGAGGTACTCTTCTTCTCAGTTCCAAAGTCTCGGTATGTTTGGACCTAAACTTTAAATTCATAATTATTTTGGGATGAGGGCTGAGATGTTTCAGGTCGGATAGCCTTAATTAAGACTCGTGTGATTTWTATATATATATCTGAAACATGATCAAAATAACACTTGCATTGGCACCTAAGTCTGACAAATAAAATAGTGAGTCGTGATCATTCAGGGTTTGTTATCTTGCAATAATGAAAGAAGTTGCTGAAATGTCTCTGAATGAAAAGATTAGAAATGAAGAAGTAAAAACGTTCTGAACATCAAAACTAGGGTCACAATGTTTGTCAAGGGTAGAGGGTGGAATGTCGAGAGTTAAATATCAAGAGTCGAGGGTACCATTGGCTCAACATACCATTTTTCGTGCTGTAGATAATTATTTATTAAATTAAAATACTGAACTGACAAGCGTACGGATGTAAATTTTAGTATGAATAACGCGGGGTCAAAACAGTTATTTCCGTTCGAAGACATCGCTGTTTTTTTTAAAAGCCGTCACACACTCTATGTACCAAATAAACTTAAGCGTAATATTTTCCCATTTCAAACCACGTGACATTCCCTGGAGAATAAGATTCGTTTAAAAAACTTGGTTTTGAATGTAAGATAAAATGATCAAGGTGAATTAAGATTAAAACTTTAAAAACCAACAAAGGCTAAACCGGTTTGTTATTTTCGAATTTGAAAATTCATGGTTTACAATCGAAAGTGTGTAGGCTTAAACCGTAAGGTCTTTAACCAGAAAAGCCGTTTTGAGCCCTATTTCAATTTCAATACGGGTTAGTTGAATTGGGCGTAAAAAAAAATTGAATTCCATTCAGGAAAGGTCCAAGTGAACCTCTTTGGAATTTTTTCTGCTCAACGCGGAACATATCCAAATTAGTTTTTGTAAAATGTTTCGAGCATTTTTTGCCTAGACATTTTGAAATTCCATCCAAATCCAAATTTGTCTTCCACATTTTAATCTTCGATTTGTTTAGAGCTTTTCATCTCGGGTGTAATGCATTCTTATCGCAGATCATGTGTCATGGGCTTAACACTTGATGTTGCGCATGATCAGAAGAGACACGGTCTGAAATTGTATCTAAAAACATTATTACGCCCAAGGAAAAGAAGTCTTGATCTATTGATTTTATTCTCCCCAGTGCTAAAGATCCAAGTACCATTGACAGCTTGGACTGAAGATGAAAGCAGCAGGACTAAAGGCAACATYTTTGTTGCATCCCTATCGAGCTGTCAGGTTTGTTTTCCTTTACCTGATCATTGGGATCATTACGACTGGCTCGTCAAACTCGATGGCCACCACAAAAAACCACTCGAGGCTGAGAGTATTCAAAGACGGTCACGTGATAATTGGAGGTTTGATTTTTCTTCATGAATACAGGTTTGTAAACAAGTATTTTCTTAAGATAGATATGTAACACGTTCAAAAATTCACCTTGCGTGAGAGAGAGAGAGAGAGAGAGAGAGAGAGAGAGAGAATTCCACAGTAAAAATATGTAATGCGATTTCTCTTCTTTATAGGTGTGATAAGTTCTCTCCCTGGAATCTAGGTATTGTTGAGGCGATCATGTATGCTGTAAATGAAATCAATAAAGATAAGGAACATCTTACTAATCTCACACTTGGTTACGACATACAGSATACTTGTGGAAATGAAATAATTACAGTAAAGCAAGCATTCAAATTTGCCACAGCATCTAACATGAACTGCAAAGCTGTAAGGTGCAACTCGAATAACAAATGCATTTGCAATGTCAACAATACTTTTGTCGGTTCAACTTATCCAGTAATTGCAATTGTCGGAATGTCGCCTTCTCGAGTTGCCATCGCATTGGCTAGTTTCCTGCAGGCTGTCCGAATACCGTACGTTGAATCCGCTGCAACAAGTGAGGATCTGAGTTCACCAATGTATGACAGCTTCTTTCGGACTGTTCCATCAGATGCTAACCAGGCCAAGGCAATAGCTGACATAGTAGAACATTATGGCTGGAGGTAAGGTGGYCAATTGTTTATTGTAAGCTAGATATCCACTTTTAACTTAAGCCTGGTTCACACTAGCGTCGTCATCGGAGTCGGAAGCAACATACGCAGACTCAGTGTAACGAGTCATTAACAGTGGTAGTCTTTTTTGACACCCTCGTAATAAATGTCATACTGAGTCTGCGTAAGCTTCTGCGTTTGCTTTGATTCCGACGAGTGTAAACTAGGCTTTAGAGTATTCCATTTCTTCGCCAGGTACGTAGCAGAAATAGCAGGGGATAACTCCTATGGCCGTCACGGAGCAATAGCACTTGAGCGAGAATCCATTCAACGAAAAACGTTTTGTGTTGAACTTTTGGGTTATGTTCCGTTATTGAACTATGACAACAAACTCAAAATGATGATATCTTTGCTCAAACTACGAAAAACAGTGAAAGTAATAATTGTCTGGAGTGGCTCTTCGTACGCAAAGGAGATACTGAGGATTTCTGTGAAAGAAGGATTGCAAAACCGAGTATGGATTTTCAGTGAAGCTCTTGCAACAAAAACGCCGGATTATTTATCCTCAATTCACAATCTTTCTTCAGCTGGGTTTCATATACTGGGGGTTAAAGTACAAAGTAAGGTCCCGGAAAGTTTCCGTGCCCACCTTAAAAACAGATTGGTTAGCAACCAATCTAATCAAGACCATTATCTGTGGAACGAATTCTGGAAATACGTGGCTTTAACAAATCTTTCCCGCGAAAGCTCAGATCAATTACTGAATATAACATATGATGATTACGCTATATATATGATCGATGCAATATACAGTATTGCTCATGCACTTGACCGAATGTTAAGATTTTCATCTTCCATAAATAAGGAATTACGTCCTGATATCAAAGAAACGCTAAAACCTGGTCAATTGGTTGAATACCTCAAACAAGTCGAGTTCGAAGGCGTGAGTGGAAAAGTACAGTTCGATTCAAGAGGTAATCTGCTAGAAGCCATTTATGACGTCGTGTACTTTAACGTCTCTAAACAAAATGACAAAGAAATGATCACTAAGAATGTCATTGGACAATGGAGCAAGACCAAAAAGGTTCGCATAAGCATTGTTGATGCAATGCAATGGAAAAATGAAAACGACGAACGGAAGATCCCTMACTCTACATGTGCAGACGAATGCAAGCCAGGGCAATGGAAAGAACTTATAACAAACTGTTGCTGGAAATGTTTACCATGTATCGATGGAAGTGTTTCAGAAACAAACGGAGCGCTGAGTTGCACACCCTGTACTAAAACACAAATGTCCAACTTTGAAMRGACSCRMTGCATACCCCTTCCTATAAATAACATTGACTGGTCAGACATAGTTTCAATCATACTCACTATAATAAGTATTCTAGGGTTTGTTATTGATGTGTGTGTATTTGGTATCCTGTTCTATTTTCGTGACACTCCCATGGTAAARGCTTTAAACAAAGTGTGTACTCTTGTTCTCCTCCWCGGAATAGCTTTGTGTTTTGGGATGACTTTACTATATATCGTAAGACCTTCATCTGGATTGTGTTCTGTCCTGAAGCCGTTACGATATGTTGTTTACACGCTTTGTTGTTCGGCTCTGTTTGTGAAAACCATGCAAATTGTGCACGCTTTCAATATCTCTCGCCATAAAAACTGGGTGAAGGCATTTGTTTGCAGCACCAAACGACAAGTGATTGTGCTTCTAGCAATAATAAGTATCGAAGTGTTACTTGGCGCTGGTTGGATTATCTGGGATCCACTATATGCTCACTTGACTATATTCCAAAAAAGTCACGTGCTCATCACATGTGTGCCTTTCAGGGGCACCACTTGTGAGGTACTGGACAGCCTTATGCTTTTGTATCTTCTGTTGGTGGCTGGGTGTTGCGTTTTTTACGCTTTTCGCGCAAGAAATCTTCCAGCTAATTTTAACGAAGCCAAACACATAAGCTTTTCTCTGTACATCTTCCTGTTATCCTGGATAACCTATTACCCTGTAGATTATGCAGCGGAGGGATGGTACGTTGCTGTCCTATCAGGAACTACTCTTCTTCTCAGCTCCTATGGTCTTCTAGGCTGTATTTTTGGGCCCAAACTATTCATAATTGTTTTGCACCCCGAGAAAAACACCTTGGAGTTCATAAGGGCTGAGATGCGTCAGAATAACATGAACCAGTCGTTAGGAAATAACAGCAGCTCATGCAATGTAAAACTAACTGAAACATAGTTTTTAAGTTGTTGTAGCTGTTATTTAGCACTTACGAGCGCTATTCTAGCTAAAACAGTTTAAGCTGCAACAGAAAGCCTAAAGTTTAAAAACGCTGTCTTCCATACATTAATAATTATCTAGATATAGATCGATTTAAGATAAAAATTGTTAATGCTACATATATTACCGTGGGGATATTAGAACCCTGATCACTTCGATGTTTTTTACACTTTCCACAACTATCCAATCAGAGCTCTCTGTAGAAACAAAGGGATCAAGTGTTTTTAGGTGCTAGCCAATCCCAACAGATAGCGCAAAATTTTTAGATGTATTATTTTAAGTTCACTAATGAAATGCTTAATCACATATTAAAATGTGGTAGTATGCTAAACTTAGACACAAAGTGGAAAATTTCAATAATTTTTAAAACAGAAATATCGTTCATTGACGAAGTAGCTGTTATTTAAAATAAATGATACTGACTTTATATTAGACGTGAATTGTATTGGATGATATGTTCATGGTTCGAGTGCCCGCATAGACGACGGTTCATTTAATCTAGCCTGGTTAACAGCTGCTCAGTCTCCCCAGTCCCTTCACTCGATATCAAACCCGACAATTGGAGTCACATGATTAATATCAGCTGAACAACATACATGATGTCACCAAAGTTTTTAAACCTTCTGAATTACAAAGCCCTTCGGGGTAACAATCATTCCTTCTGAACAGTCTTGTTTGGTAGGCGCCTGCTGGTGATGGTTGGCATCGAAACCAAAATATTATATATCCTTTACATGGCTTTCCTTCTATTACTGGTAAGTCTACTGTCCATTTAATTTRCTGCAGAATTAAACATTATTTCATAACTAGTTTCAGATCAGCACCAATTCATTTATTCTGTTTTTCGTGCATGAAATCTTCCAGCAAATTTCATCGAATCAAACTATATAAGCTTTTCTTTCTACATATTATCCTGGACAACCTATTACMATAGCCGGATTATGTGGCYGAGGGGARGTATGTGGTTGTCTTGCTGGAACAAATCTTTTTCTTAGCTCGTGTGGCATCTTGAGACAAATGCTAAGGAGATATATAAATTCAGGTCGAATAAGATTCTTTAGAATAATTTGGCACGCTCATTAAAGTGCATATGACACGAAAACATTTTAATGTTAAAAATGTGTATTCTATTGGCATGAATAAGAATATCACAGTTAAATTTGTTTCAAAAACGTATTTCTTTAGAAATTCAAGAAAATTTAGCACAAGTTGTGACGTCATTTTGTTTACAAGTCTYCAGGTTTAGTTACAAATACACGAAATTTGTTTGAATGCAGAATCTTAATTTCGGATAGTACACTTTTCAGTTTCCCAACATTTGAAGAGTACTACGTAAGCTATCAAATGAAGCTGAATAGAATATKCCTTTTGTTGTTATTTTATATGGATTACAATTTATATTTAGTGCRTTACTACCGAATGTAGAGTACGTGTCAACAAAATGACGTCACAAATTGGGCTTAATTTTCTCACATATCTCAAGAATTAAGCTTTTGAAACAAATTTTATTACGATATATTTATCATTATTAACAAACTATACATTTTAAACGATGAAATGTTTTCGTGTCATATACACTTTAAAGGATGGCATCTGCGTTAGTGGACACCAATTATACAAGAGAGACCTAGATATTAGATTATAGCCTTCCTTAAGGATGTTCGCGGACAAATAAAGTTGCGATCAGATTTTTTTAAACTTGGCATAAGGATACCCAAACATATTCTTGCTCAAAAATTAAAATAAAATATGTGGATCACCGAATTCGTCTTTTTTTTTTCCTGAAACTTTCTATCTTTGCGATGCAATCAAAATTATTATTCGAAATCGTTAACAGGTGGCCGGATTTTTTTCCCCGTACATTTAGTGCCAAGCATTTCCTCGCAATCAGAATATTTTTTTTAGATCTACATATGTTGTAGATTTTGCGAGTAGTAGCTTGATTTTAAGGAAAAGAAAAACGGGGATCACCGAATTGKTTTCTGAGATATTTTGCCGTAAAGAAGTGAAAAATGGTGTTTCTTGGTGTATTGCCCATCGAAACATTTGAACGAACGATGACCCTCATTTTTAGAAAGGCTAAAATTTCCTACAATTTTCCTTAATAGAAAGTTTAGGAATGGAGATGAAAACATTTTCCTTTCATGCAATCTAAAACGAAATCGAAAAAAAAAAGATTAGCTACAGCTTACTGAACAATCTAAAAGAAGCTTTATARGGATTGAATTTAAATTGTCTTCATAGGGAGTTACATATAATAGGCCTTTGTGGATATTACAAAAATATATAAATTTATTCGTTTTCCTTTMATTTTAAAACTTGTCTTCCTGTATTAGTATCAAAAGCTAAAGGCATTTTCGTGTGTATATCTTCTTCGTTATTAACACTGTCATATAATTACTACTGATATTTATTTACTTTTTGGCAATTGAAATAACTTTCGTGAATTTTTTTTTACCATATGTTTTCGGATTGTGCTGTTTGTCAGAGTACTGACCGCTTTCCGTTTCTAATTTCCTGATACACTACCTTGTACAATTGTATTGCTCTCCGATGGGGCAAAAACTAATAGGTAGTTAATTCTTGAATTCAAACAGCTTTTAAGACTACCCTACTTCCTATCAAAATCGAAATTATGTTGAAATATCTAATTATAGTGGAATGAAAGAAAAGGTATACAAGTAGTGCTTCTGCTGTCAGCGGGACATAGTCACGTGCTGGGGTATCATATCAACGAGATATCGAGCCAAGCTTAATCATGAGGACCTTAAGCATTTCTTAAGATTATGTTCTTTTTGGTGTTATWTATATGTCACCATCATTATTGTGGATTTCTGATTTTCTGAACTTTTTCCCTGAGTTGTAAGATATTTTATTTAAACTGGTTATTCTTCGTTTGCTTTTGACGTCACAGACCAAGAAAATAACAACTTAAAATTTCATAATGAATGCTATAGACTTCATTCTTTGATATKTTTTAGAGAACTATGATGYGACTATGTTTAGAAAATTTCAGACCATTTCACCGTTTCCGAGTTGAATTGAGCAAATTTGCATTTCTTCGCATAATTCCGCTGACCTTACATTGCTTACGGACCTAAAAATTCATAGAAATGATTTTTCCCCCGCTGAATCAAACATTTTAAATGTTTTTAAATTCGATTTATGTCTAAAGTGARTTTGATAAATTGTTGCCTGCATGAAATACTTTTTTWATTTTGGCTGCCATCCTCGTGGACCACTAGTCCACCATCGTGTTTTCGCAATATACGTTTATTACACTTCAAATACGGAAACTTCACTCGACCACAGCTCGTTTCAGAAATGCTCTAATACTCCATTTTTTTGCTCAGAGTTGTATTATTGGAGGCTCTGCATGGTCATAAGGATTGTTTTTTGATTGGAACCGAAAAAACCCAGTAAAGGGAGTTCGTCCAAGTGGACCTCTCTTCAATTATTTTCCCAAGGAATTCAAAATAGTATAAGCTATAGCATCTTCTAATAAAACTTTCGATTTCCACTTTTTAATCTTTGACCCACTCATGTTTACGTCGATAATTTGATTTGCTGTTTTCAGACCTATAATTATCAAAATAACCTTATGAATAAAAASTGAAGATGAAAACAGCAGGACCAAAGGCAATATCTTTGTTGCATTCCTGTCAAGCTGTCAGGTTTGTTTCTCTTTATCTGATAATTGGAATCATAACGAATGGCTCGTCAAACTCAAGTGCCACCACAGAAGACGATATAGGCCACAGAGTATTCAAAGATGGTCATGTAATAATTGGAGGCTTTGCTTCTGTTCATGAATACAGGTTTGTATTAAAATGTTTTTTGTTGTTTTTTTTTCAGATATGAAATTAAACACGTTCCCTTATATTATCCATTCCGAGATCGAAAAAAAAATTGTGACAAGTTGAGCAGGTACCCAGTACAATATGGGACTGACTAATTTGGGGGATGAGATAGACGTCATCTTGGAAAAATGTTTCATAAAACAGTCACACCATACACTGCAATACGAACCCAACCTAGATGTTTCCTCAAATAATCTTGCAAATTAAAATAAGAATAACATTTAAAAAACGTTTGGTGACAGACACTAAGAATGTCTGCGTAGGAGGCTACGCGAGTAGCTATCTAAAAGTAAAAGGAATTACATTTGATAACAACATATTTCCACTTGTCCGCCTACGAATCGTATTCTCTTGTGGTGTACATCTTTCAAGTAACTTGTTAATTCATGCAAAAAAATAGAGTGTGATTTTTACTTACTTCGTAGGTGTGAGAGGTTCTATCCCTCGAGCTTAGGCCAGTGGGAGGCGATGATCTATGCAATAGAAGAAATTAATAGAAATAACTTTCTTCTTCCTAATCTTACTCTGGGTTACGACATACGTGAATCATGTGATAGCGAAATGCACACAGCAAGGCACGCGTACAAATTTGCTACAGCATCTACCATGAACTGCAAAGCYGTAASGTGCRTATCGAGTRACRAATRTCTTTGCGACGTCAAYSRTACTTCAGTCATTAAAGAATTACCAAGAAAAAACTACAGTTCAACTTATCCAGTAATTGCCATCGTCGGAGCACTGCCTTCTCGAGTTGCCATCCCATTGGCTAGTTTCTTGCAGGCTGTCCGAATACCCTAYATTGAATCCACAGCAACAAGTGAGGAGTTGAGTTCACCAATGTATGACAGTTTCTTTCGAACTGTTCCATCAGATGTTAATCAGGCCAAGGCAGTCGCTGACATCATAGACCAATTTGGCTGGAGGTAAGGTGGCCATGTTTTTTCACAAATCGTAAAAATAACTTTTTTTTTAAATTTAATAATAAATATAATCAACATGAATATGTTTTTAAACKAGGTCCGAAACGCTCGCAAACGGAGCCAGTGAGCGTTAGAAAAAGTTTTTCTTTCAAACTTTAATTTTTGTGTGTTATTAGTTTGCATTATTTTGTACATTATTTATCACGATATGACTTTAAAAGTTTGTCAATATTAGTTATGTGTCTACTCGGCCACGCCTCGGGAGAACACTATACCAACAATTTGACCAACTGTTGACGTCATATCGTGGTAAATAGAAGGACATACCACGCAAAAATTTGTTAAATTCTGTTCTTTTTTCAGATATGTAGCAGCAGTGGCASTGGATGATTCCTACGGTCGTCAAGGAGTGTTAGCACTGCAGCGAGAATCCATCCAACGTAAAACCTTTTGTGTCGAACTGTTCGGTTATATTCCCTTATTAAACTACAACAACAATCTCAACATGATTCTGTCTTCCCTTCAACTACGTAAAACAGTTAAAGTCATAGTCATCTGGAGTCAATCTCTGTATGGAAAAGAAATACTGAAGGTTGCTGTAAAAAAAGGCTTGGAAAACCGTGTCTGGATTTTCAGTGAAGCGTTTG